TTTATAGCGGCAGCAGTGTGTGTACGGATCCGTCGAGCGGAGGCCAAACGTCGTAGTAGCCGTGGTGGTCGAGCAGATGGGGATGATATGTCCAAGGCCTTGATGCAGTATCCCACTAATACCACCGATGCTGGGGATGGCGACGGTCGACCCTTGGCGTACTATCGTGTACTATGATGCGAATTGAATAATGGTTCATTCCCGAGGCGGTATTGAGTCTCCAGCGGTGATATAACTATTTTTGTCTCAATCATCATGACTAGTTACTAAAGTAATCCCTGAACTCCTTGTTTTGTTGAGTAATTGCTGGCTTTAGGCCATCGCCCTCCGAATTGTGGGACGATGCGTCAAGACCTGGGGCCCTGCCGTTATAGTCGCTTCCTGTGACATGTATACTCATCAGCATACATCTTCTGAACAACGTGAGCTCGAAGCGGAGGAAGGGAAATCGGCCATTTTCATGGGGAAGAATGACCAAAAGTCTTCTCGAGTGAGGCAGCGGCACTGTTTTACACTGATCGATTGGTCTAGTAACTCAGGGGCATCCGGCCGTGTCGACTCCTCCGCAGTCGAGGAAGAGGCCATTGGGAGTAACAGAAGGAGGTTTGGATATAGACTTCAACAACTCAACTGCTGCTACTCCATCAACAGCAGCTACTACCAGGATTATGGGAGATTCGGTGCTTCGAGGCGATCCTCGCTCCGTACGGAGTAAGAATGGATGAGTCTCGGCCGATAGGCGAAGGCACCCCGTCTACGGATGTGTTGCATCGACATGATGGTCAGCGGGCTGCCGCAGGTAGAAAAAGGCGTTCCAGACTTTTCCCCTCTTTCAGTTGTTCCGAGAAGACTCCACCGCCAGCAGCATCCCGCCACAGACGCCGCGGTATGTCGTCAAGCGACTTCCACCTCTGAGTGCAGCGCTCTCACCACTACCGAAACTGCAAGCGTCGGCGACTACTCCGACGGGAGATCATGCCGCGTATATGGCGGATTCTCGATTGGTTAATGAGGAAGAAGAGGAGGAAGCTCCGATGACGCCCCAGCGAAAGGTGAGAACCAGTGGTTGAGAGTCATTCGATCATCCTTTTCCTGTCGAGTCTGCGTTCCCTGGACCCGGCTGAGTCATCGTTTTTCCTTCTCTGGAATGACTGGCCGTGTTTCAGCCGGGCTCGAGCAGGCGTTCGAGAAGCCCGTCGCCTCCCAAGATCGACAAGTATCGCAGTCGTTGCCGTCCGATGCCCTGTGATGGCATCCCGGTACGAAGACTCGCGACTGAGTTCGAGCGCATGCTGGAAGAAGGGGGCCATCAGTGACTGCGTCAGCGGCTACAGTGATACCAATCACTCCTAACTTCCCGGCGCTTTTGGAGCTTCCTCGGCTGACTTTTCCTCTATTCTGACGAGGAAGAGTCTGATGAGGATCTCATCAGTCCAGGGGTGAGGGGTGGAAACTCATGTCGTGTGCTATGGGTGCAGTATGACGAGCATTCAGAGCCGTCTGCCGAGGGTGCCCCGCATCAACGGAGAGGCGGCAGCAAATGCAGGCCCGTCGACTGGTCGTTCCACTATGGTGCCCGAAGAGCTCGAGGTGCTGCCGCCCTCCATGGTGACTATGATTGTTCGTTCTATAGGAAAGAGGCAGTCACACACCGTCGTCAACCGGTGAAGGCTACTCTATGTCGCTGAAGGACGCTCTGGTAGCCGACTTGGAGGCGCTATTCCTCGAGATGGATCAATATCAGTAGAGCTGACATTACCGCCTCGAATTCTATGCTGCTACTGCAGAATCCCTTCAAGAGTCGCAGCCCGAAACCTTCGCAGTCGATCGGCACAGTATGCCGAAGTAGAGGACATGAACAAGATACTGCTGGAGATTGTGCAAGTAGGCGGAGAGTAGGAGTGCAAGTTCGTGGCTGCTAAGATGCTGACAGCAACTTGCCGTCCCGTTCGCTCGGAACTCTCAGTCTGTGCTGGGTGAACTGCTGCACAATGCAATCTTGTCTCAGGAACATCCCCAGCAATTCTGCCTCAAGGGGAATATCATTCACTTCATGCAGCAGCCGGAGGGCGGTGGAGTTCTTGAAGGATAGGGTCCCCGTATTCTCATTGAAGTATCGGCTGTGAGCAGCTCATGGTCATGTGTACAATAATAGATCAATCACAATAGCTCGCCAGCTGGGCGGGCGTCGCTGGGGCCATTTATTTTCCTGCTAGAGCTGTGTTGTGTCATAGTCAGTGGTAGCGATTAGGCGTGGCACTCGATAAGCTACGGTTGAGCGTTGTGGGCATCACTGTGAGTCTTCAATAATTGAAAGGGTAGTAAGTCTGATTGTCGTGCTTCGAGGCAGAGGCCAGTCGCTCTCTTGTTAACCGGGTGGATCTTCACGATCAGTGTCTCGGCCCTGGTTACGGGAAATGGCGCCGAAACAGAAGCCCGTTGCCGAGCCAGCTCCGGTTGAGGTTGATGATCAACAGCAGACAGAGCCGGGTGATGAACCTGTCGAGGACCCGAGGTGTGATTTAGAAGATTTTCCCATGATGGTAGACACCGTGAGGGCGTAGCCTTCAGATCCCTTGGAACGGGTCACATGCTGTGCCTGCTTGATGACGACATCCGAGCGATTTGGGATGCACCGGAAGTCGATCGACTTAGTTTGCTAGCCGAAAGGATACCCATCGAAGCTGCTGATAACTTCAGAGAGGAGATAGAGATGCAGCTGTGAGGGTCAGCTGTCTGCGTACTTCCTGTCACGAGACCTGGATCAGTTATCTTACTCTCATTGAGCACTGCAGTGATCAGCGAAAGGATGGGTTATGTTTGACGGCTAGGCAGACATCCGGTCGCTCTCATGATGGTAAAGATGCTCGTCGATGATGTAGCTGAATGAGTGTTGGTGGTTTCGGTGAAGTATCGCGTCAGATCCGAGCTGGAGTAGAGCTGGACGCCTCGGGTGAGGTTGTTCGAACCGTCGAAAAAACTGCTGCGGTGGACAAGTTCCGAGAGCTCGCCCTCACCTATACAATAGAGTACGCGATTCATGCGGACATGCAGCAGCTTGCCCTTCTCAGCATGCCTGTGTTTTCTCCTCCGGAGATGCGCCTCTTGTCGGATTATCTGGGCGTCACTTTCTTCGCTCATTATAACCTCTACATGTACTGCTTGATGTGCCCCCGGCAGATGGAACGGATAGAGGTACCTGGGTAAGGCGAGCGACCTTCCCCTTCGAATATGGGACCTTAGGTCAGTTTAGTGCTGCCCGATCCCGAAGTGCCCCCGCCATTGGAGGAAGCTGCTGAGCTTAGTGGTAGGACGCATCTTGCATCTATTAACACACTGTAGGGTGGATACCCCCTGCAGATGATATCTCAGGACGTAAGCAGCCTTTGGAAGCCGTTGCACGCAGTACCAGCCAGGAAGTCGACGTGATTCTGGAGGTGGATACGCCGGATGAACCTGTGCAGGACTCGACCAGTCCTCCGGTAAGAAAGGGTTTCCTCGACCGAATTCATGATTAGGTTGAGGATGGTCAAGTGACTGTTGGTGTGCAAGAACTGATCGAAAGTGGCCTGGATGAAGGTTAGTTTTCGCAGTGAACTGAAACGTCCTCTAATGAACACGACCTGCAGCTACAGCCCTTGCGGTAAGTGAGAAGTTATCAGAGCTGGTTTCTATTATGGAAAAGAAACTCGATAATCGAGAAAAGTGAGGCACCCTGTTCTACGGTGCGTCATCCCTGACTTGACAGGGAGTTAGACAAGAAGCCACAGAGCACTGCTGAGGGGTAATGCATGTCTTGATGGTGCTGGTGAAGCCGCGTGTATTGCGTTCCTAGTAAGTAGTGACTCAGTAGCCGAATGCCCAGGGCATCGACCGTCGATGCGTTGCCACGAGGGAGCGTAACTTATGGAAAAGACTTCACTCCTTCCTTGAGTGATTCCAGGTGCGCTCTCCGCCCTGGTGCTGTGCCTAATCACCGAAACGCAGCGTTTCGATGAAACTTCCGATGAAACCCAGCGTTGATGAGACTTCGCCGCGGCCGAGCTAGCGTTGCGTTTGCTGGAGGGCCCTACAATGCCGTCTAGTAGGGCAACACCGTGTTGCCCTCCTAGACGGCGTTTTGTGGATCTGCCTTTTCAGCTTCCTGCCGGTGAATTGGTGGCATCAACTTTATTATTTAATAATATATATTAGTTTAGTATTTAATATTATTACCTTATTATACCTGATACCGCATATTATAGTGTTTAATATATACGCGTTACCGCATGACGATAGGCCGTGGTGTCTTTCCTACTCTCAAGTGTATCGCTCCCCCTTCGTGCGTTGCGAAGCTGCGGTGAGGAGCAGACCGTCTAGTGAGCCGAGACTCGTTAATGGTCGGTCTTCATGGCACGTGTGTGACTAAGTTGCTGGTGAAAAAACTATGTTTTCTGTTTTTCAGTTCCCAAAACGGAACATATCCCAATCTTTCCTATCTGATCCCAATCTGTTATCCCAATCCCATAATTCTGTTGATTCTTTATTTAACGTTGGTTTGCATAATTTTCCATCGCGATCATCTCGTGATTCCAGTCCTTTCCAGGTATCAGATTCTGTAAGGGAGCTTTCACTCGTTAGGCACTTCGTCTTGGAATTCATCTTCAATCTCATAGAGCATCTACCGGCAAGAGTCTCGTGGACGGCATTGCTGAACGGCCCTGCAGCTCAGTGGGTAAAGCGATGATCCTGTGAACTATAGGTCGTGGGATCGACACTCGCCGGGAGTATATGGGGAACGTGATGCGGAATCATGTTTCTATCGGTAGGATTCTCATGGGCGAAACAGCTCAATGGTCCAGTAGCTGAGTGATTAGAGCTACAGGTCATGCAGCTCAGTGGTTAGAGCTACTGGGATTATATGAGGAAGATATTGCGGAATAGCTTCAGGTAAGCGAGTTTGAAGCGCCAAACGTAGCAGGTATCTATCGGGAAATGCCCCACGCACGGCATTGCCCGACAGTTTCGTAGCTCGGTGGTTAGAGCGATGGTCTTATGAGCTATCGGTCGTGAGTTCGACCCCGCCGGGACTACGTAGAGGATGCGTTGCTTGCTAGTTGTAGGTTTGCAAATACGAACGTTGAGGGCATGTATCAGCAAAAGTCTCGCGTACGGCGGCGCTCAACGGTCCTGTAGCTCAGTGGTTAGAGCGATGGTCTTATGAGCCATAGGTCGTGGGTTCGACCCCCGCCGGGACTACGTAGAGGATGCGTTGCTTGCTAGTTGTAGGTTGGGGAATTCGAACGTTGAGGGCATCTATCGGCAAAAATCTCGCGGACGGCGTCGCTCAACGGTCCTGTAGCTCAGTGGTTAGAGCGATGGTCTTATGAGCCATAGGCCGTGGGTTCGACCCCCGCCGGGACTACGTAGAGGATGCGTTGCTTGCTAGTTGTAGGTTAGGCAATTCGAACGTTGAGGGCATCTATCGGCAAAAATCTCGCGGACGGCGCCGCTCAACGGTCCTGTAGCTCAGTGGTTAGAGCGATGGTCTTATGAGCCATAGGCCGTGGGTTCGACCCCCGCCGGGACTACGTAGAGGATGCGTTGCTTGCTAGTTGTAGGTTGGGGAATTCGAACGTTGAGGGCATCTATCGGCAAAAAATCTCGCGGACGGCGCCGCTCAACGGTCCTGTAGCTCAGTGGTTAGAGCGATGGTCTTATGAGCCATAGGCCGTGGGTTCGACCCCCGCCGGGACTACGTAGAGGATGCGTTGCTTGCTAGTTGTAGGTTAGGCAATTCGAACGTTGAGGGCATCTATCGGCAAAAATCTCGCGGACGGCGCCGCTCAACGGTCCTGTAGCTCAGTGGTTAGAGCGATGGTCTTATGAGCCATAGGCCGTGGGTTCGACCCCCGCCGGGACTACGTAGAGGATGCGTTGCTTGCTAGTTGTAGGTTGGGAAATTCGAACGTTGAGGGCATCTATCGGCAAAAATCTCGCGGACGGCGCCGCTCAACGGTCCCGTAGCTCAGTGGTTAGAGCGATGGTCTTATGAGCCGTAGGTCGTGGGTTCGACCCCCGCCGGGACTACGTAGAGGATGTGTTGCTTGCTAGTTGTAGGTTGGAGAATTCGAACGTTGAGGGCATCTATCGGCAAAAATCTCGCGGACGGCGTAGCTCAACGGTCCTGTAGCTCAGTGGTTAGAGCGATGGTCTTATGAGCCATATGCCGTGGGTTCAGCCCCCGCTGGGACTACGTAGAGGATGCGTAGCTTGCTAGTTGTAGGTTGGGGAATTCGAACGTTGAGGGCATCTATCGGCAAAAATCTCGCGGACGGCGTAGCTCAACGGTCCTGTAGCTCAGTGGTTAGAGCGATGGTCTTATGAGCCATAGGCCGTGGGTTCGACCCCCGCCGGGACTACGTAGAGGATGCGTTGCTTGCTAGTTGTAGGTTAGGCAATTCGAACGTTGAGGGCATCTATCGGCAAAAATCTCGCGGACGGCGTCGCTCAACGGTCCTGTAGCTCAGTGGTTAGAGCGATGGTCTTATGAGCCATAGGTCGTGGGTTCGACCCCCGCCGGGACTACGTAGATGATGTGTTGCTTGCTAGTTGTAGGTTGAGGAATTCGAACGTTGAGGGCATCTATCGGCAAAAATCTCGCGGACGGCGTAGCTCAACGGTCCTGTAGCTCAGTGGTTAGAGCGATGGTCTTATGAGCCATAGGCCGTGGGTTCGACCCCCGCCGGGACTACGTAGAGGATGCGTTGCTTGCTAGTTGTAGGTTAGGCAATTCGAACGTTGAGGGCATCTATCGGCAAAAATCTCGCGGACGGCGTAGCTCAACGGTCCTGTAGCTCAGTGGTTAGAGCGATGGTCTTATGAGCCATAGGCCGTGGGTTCGACCCCCGCCGGGACTACGTAGAGGATGCGTTGCTTGCTAGTTGTAGGTTGGGGAATTCGAACGTTGAGGGCATCTATCGGCAAAAATCTCGCGGACGGCGTAGCTCAACGGTCCTGTAGCTCAGTGGTTAGAGCGATGGTCTTATGAGCCATAGGCCGTGGGTTCGGCCCCCGCCGGGACTACGTAGGGGATGCGTTGCTTGCTAGTTGTAGGTTAGGCAATTCGAACGTTGAGGGCATCTATCGGCAAAAACCTCGCGGACGGCGTAGCTCAACGGTCCTGTAGCTCAGTGGTTGGAGCGATGATCTTATGAGCCATAGGTCGTGGGTTCGACCCCCGCCGGGACTACGTAGAGGATGCGTTGCTTGCTAGTTGTAGGTTGGGAATTCGAACGTTGAGGGCATCTATCGGCAAAAATCTCGCGGACGGCGTAGCTCAACGGTCCTGTAGCTCAGTGGTTAGAGCGATGGTCTTATGAGCCATAGGTCGTGGGTTCGACCCCCGCCGGGACTACGTAGATGGTGTGTTGGTTGCTAGTTGTAGGTTGGAGAATTCGAACGTTGAGGGCATCTATCGGCAAAAATCTCGCGGACGGCGTAGCTCAACGGTCCTGTAGCTCAGTGGTTAGAGCGATGGTCTTATGAGCCATAGGCCGTGGGTTCGACCCCCGCCGGGACTACGTAGAGGATGCGTTGCTTGCTAGTTGTAGGTTAGGGAATTCGAACGTTGAGGGCATCTATCGGCAAAAATCTCGCGGACGGCGCCGCTCAACGGTCCTGTAGCTCAGTGGTTAGAGCGATGGTCTTATGAGCCATAGGCCGTGGGTTCGACCCCCGCCGGGACTACATGGAGGATGCGTTGCTTGCTAGTTGTAGGTTAGGCAATTCGAACGTCGAGGGCATCTATCGGCAAAAATCTCGCGGACGGCGTAGCTCAAGGGTCCTGTAGCTCAGTGGTTAGAGCGATGGTCTTATGAGCCATAGGTCGTGGGTTCGACCCCCGCCGGGACTAGACTTCGGTTTCGCGGAGCAGCTTCAGGTTCGTGACTCCGAACGTTCAGGGCGCCTATCAGCAATACGGGCTGTTCAGTAAAAGACCAATAAACCAGTCCCAGGATCGATCTTGAGGATCGATTTTGAAGATCGATCCCGAAAACGTGTTCAGGGAACTCGGTCCTGAAACTTTTGAGGACTGATCCCGGGATCGATCTCAAACACTGTTCATAGAACGCGATCTTGAAACCTAATCCTGGGATCGATCCCAGGACCCACCTTGGTGCATAACTCGCACACACTCGATAACTTGAAATGTCTCATTGCCATCCACGGCCATCTCAAATTATGCACAAGTATACGTAAGTGCCGGAATTCCCTAGGCGGGGATCGAACCTGGGTCATTCGCTTAGTATGTACGAATCATCCTGGTGAGGTGCACTGTGACTTTGCGTAATTTGGTGTTGTTTCGCGCGCCACGGAGCCCCCAGGATCGGTGTCTACCAGTCCTGAAAATATTGGTCCCAGGACCGGTCCTAGGATCGATCTTTTGCTCCTCTGAACGCGTTCAGGATCGATCCAGGGATTGATCCTAGAATTGCTCCCAGGATCGATTGACTGAACAGAAAAAAGCGTCGGTCAATCCTGGGATTGATCCCGAGTCCCGGAATCGATTTACTGAACAGCCCAATAGTCTCGTGGGCTACGTTCCTCGATGGTCCTGTAGCTCGATGGGTAGAGGAATATGACACTCAAGCACTTGGAACTAAAGGCAGATCTTTCGAAAAAAAATATACAGTCAGTCGCGGTGACTGCAGGTCAGTCATCGATTGGAAAGAAGATAAACGTCAGGTGATGGATCTGAATCTGGCTTCCTGGACGGAGTGGCACAGTAGAATCCGCCGGGACCGGCGTGCCGTCCACGAATGTACCTGATAGTGGTAGCTTATGTACGGCTGTGGACTAATTGGAGTAATGACCTCCACCATAGTTTCTCAACATCCATCCAGCCTCGGAATTCCGGTCGATACCACAGTGAACCTAATGACGTGATTCAGAAGCGGCAGGGTCCTGGTAAACCGCTTAGAGCGTACTGCATGAACGATAGGGTCTCCTGCAGGAGCTAGATGGTCGCTAAAGTCCATCAGTGATGAAATATCGAAGTGGCATTCTTCGCTGTCTGACCCAATGAGAAAAGGTACCTAATACAATACTGAGAACTTCACATCGCTTACTGGGCGGGGTTGACTGCCCCTCTCACGAAGAGAACTCTCTGCAATACTTCCCGCACTAGCTTATCTACGACCGCTGCGACCGGGGTACTTCAATTATCCAGCATGGCGACATTGAAAGTTGGGTGTACTCGCGTGTTTAGCCTAGCATTCGGTCCACTGTCGATCTATGTCAATTCCAAAGGCCACCGGGTCGTTTGAACCTCCTTATGCATTCAAGCAAAGAGTTAACCGATACATTGAGAGGGATCTTGGGTTCCGAGCAGCAACTACAGTAGAGATTACAGATCCCTGTAGCATAGGTTCGGAACGAGATTCACAGTAGGAGTATCCATCCGCAAGACGGCCCTTCCTTACTTTAGAGGACGGGACGGAGAGTCGGGCTCCCTCGATAGCTAGCTTGGCCACCGAGTGCTCTTCTTGCGGCTGTACACCGTTGGAAACCAAATCCTGGGAGGAGAGAGCAATCAGGAGCAAAAGGTTGATAAGGATTTCCCCACCTCTGGTTTTTCTCGGAGACCCCAAGGCCTTACAGGCTCCGCGCTATGGTCCATCCTGAGAAGTCTTTCCACTTCCTGTGGATCGGCCACTTCCCCCAAAACCGCTAGTATCCCTTGAAACTGAACTTCGGAGAGCCGTGCAAGTCGATCATGATTCATTCGCGCCTACCGCAGCAGCCTGTCGCCGGTGAAGGGCCTCTACGTCCATGATTGCTTTGGTGGTGTTGCCTGTCTTGGGGTCATAGAGGAACTCAATAAGGGGATTCTCCGAAGTGTCCCAACCCATCAGTCTCTGTATCATCCTAAAAAATGAGAGCATCGTGAGCGTGAGGGAAATTCGGGACCAAGTACATACCTGTCTGCAGTACGTATCTTATCTTCAATCGGAACATCATTGAAGCTCCGATGCCACGACCGCGATAGAAAGTCCGGCAAGCTCTCAGCTTGATGCGTACTACCGATCGA